ATTTCATTCAATTATTATTATTCAGGATTTATATAACGCCAACAGTTTGTGCAGCGCTTTAAAATATAGTGAAGACATTATAATTACAATACAATTCAAGACAAGATGGTAAGGACTCAAAAAATGCTCTGAACATGAATTTCTATCTAATAAGATAAAGAGCTGCAACCTGTAGCAAGAATTTATTTTAGATGAGCTGCCTACAGTACAATACCATATTGCACTTTGTACATCATGCATACTCTTTGCACTGCCTTGTTATATATGTCATTGTCTTTACTTATTTGTATGTTTTATAAAATAAAGGACGTTCCACTGTTCCAGTCCTGCTACATACGTACGGGCATTTTCAATTGTCAATGCATAATTTGAGATTTAGGAACAGAGGGTAGTTAGACATGTTTCTACTGTTTTAGAAGTGATTGTTTTCTGAAGATATGGGTAAACAATGCGATTTAACAGCCTTTGAACGTGGGATGGATTGTTGAAGCTCGGAGCCATGGAGCGAGTATCAGCAAAACAGCAGAATTCGTTAAATGTTCAAGAGCAGCTGTTGTTAAAGTGTTTAAAGACTGGACTGTCAGCCGAAAATCTGGGTCTGAACGTGCGAATTGTGGCCGTCAGCGACTAGTCAATGTTAGGGCAGAACGGAGAGTGCAAGACTGGTACAAGACAACAGTGCATCAAACGAAGTACTGATGAGGTGGTCATAATAATATGGACACTCAGTGTATATACATGGCATGTTCTTGAAACCACTCCTGCACAATACGAGCACCGTGGCATGGCGCATTGTCTTGTTGGAAGAAGCCATCTCCATGTTTCATGCTGTTCCCGCCAAATTCTCACTCTGCCATCTGCATGATGCAACTGGAAACGTGATTTTTTTCCAATGTACGACTGTCCAATCCTTGTGTTCCTGTGCGAATTGGAGACGTTTTGTCTTGTTAACTGCAGACAGCAAAGGTGTTCGAACAGGCCTTTGGCTTCCATATCCCATACGATGCAGTGTATGGCGAACAGTGCGTTCAGAGATCATTTGAGAGGATCCCTGATTAAGATCTGCAGTAATGTGATGCACTGTTGCCCTTCTGCTGTACCAGTCACAATTCGCACGTTCAGACCCAGATGTTCGGCTGGCAGTCCAGTCTTTAAACACTTCAACAACAGCTGCTCTTGAACATTTAATGAATTCTGCTGTTTTGCTGATACTCGCTCCATGGCTCCGAGCGCCAACAATCATCCCACGTTCAAAGGCTGTTAAATCGCGTTGTTTACCCATATCTTCAGAAAACAATCACTTCTACTGTCGTAGTAAACAACCTGCTTCCATATTTATAATGGTCTGGCCCTCTAGCAACTTTAGTGCGAAATTATAGCTAATTTGCCTACAAACGTCAGGTGGTCATAATAATCTGGCCACCCAGTGTGTATATCTATCTATCTATCTATATATATATATAGATAGATAGATAGATATATAGCTGTATAACAACTGCTAACTTCAGTAAATGCTGTTGTAGAAAACATCTCTATCTCCTGCTCCAGTGCAAAGATAAATCTGGATGTCACATTACATGCCTTCTTAAACCTTACAAGCACAAATGTTTTTTAAAGTAGAACTTTACCCCCAAATAAATATTTCCTTTAAATGATCCCTTTCACTGTGTTCACTACATATTTATCTTTTATTTTCACATAAATCTTTTTCACATGCTCAGAGTATTTTGTTTTTATAAGCACTGCGTTACTGCGCATGCTCTCTCCATTTCTTTTTTCGGCACTAGAGAAGTCTTCTCACAACGCTACTGCTTGAAGTCTTCTCACAACGCTTAAGTGATGTATATAATCTCCTCCAGAAACAGGGCATGCTGCTGTGAGATTTTTGAGCCTGGGCTTCCGATCACATGAAGCATTTTCTCACCTAAGATTCCCCATTCAACACAGTGGAGGACTGGTTGCTCTGAGTAGTTTACATCTATTAAGGATTGAATAGTTGTGGGAGACTGACAAACTTTGCGCACGTGCAGGCTTTTCAGTGCACAGAAGCAATGGTTTGCTCATTATGCAGGAAGTATATTTTGGCAAACAGGTACTGTCTTTTACAACATTAATGGGTGATTATCACAGTTTTGGGTGAGCCACACGGGGCACATAGTAAAACTATGTGGACATAGGTCATAGGTATGTCTAACATTCATTCATAAAACATGGTTCTCTTTTACTAGCCTGATTGCTTTATGACATGACACCATTGCCATGTGTACATTGGAAGTTGTAAAGGTCAGCATCACCTAAGGTTTTAAGAGATTAAGATGACACACTGTAGAGCTAGGAAATCTCTCTCTCAGTCTCTAAGAATTACAAGAGTTCAGCAGGTGACTCAGCCCACCAGTGCCAAACTGATATGACTTGATTGTTAAATGGATGTACTCTCAACTGTTACCGAAAACTCATGCCTTGCTTGAATGGGAAAATAAAGAATACGCAAAAAGCTAAAATACTTAATTATTGGAGAATATTCTGTTCAAGGTTCACTTCATTGCTGCTTGTATAATCAAACATTTTGATATGTGATCCCTAATGAAGGGAAGAATCAGTTTCTCAGCACAGATGGCATCACCAGATGCCTAGGCTTTTCACAAGCACTAGAGTGAGGCTTGAGCAGAACTTTTTCCCGTAAAATTAGTATTTCAGTACCCAAGAAGTTCAGTATTCATTATACAGATGTGTTGGTACCCTTTCATGAAAAAAGAAGAACCCACAATTTTCTCTGAAGTAGCTTTAAACTGGCCAAAGTAATTGATATCCATCATTGTTTATTCCATGTTTTAATAAAAAAAAGAAATCAAGCTTTGCTTTTTGATTAAACCGAATATTTTTAATAATACAACAATTGAAAATGGGCGGGACAAAAATTATAGACCCTCAATCTAATAATTTGTTGCACAACCTTTAGAGGCAATCACTGCATACAAGCTATTTCTGAAGCACTCAATGAAACTGACTCAGATGAAACACTGAAGGGTGCTGTCTCTAGACTGCATGTTTCAGCTCTTTTCATAGATGTTCAGTAGAAAGGATATCTGGGCTACAGAAGGCAACTTCAGAATAGTATAATGTTTCGATGTGAGCCATTCTTGGGTGCTTCTAGTTGTTCTTTTTGGGTCATTATCCTGTTGGAGGACCCATGACCTTCGCCTGAGACAGACAATGGAAAGTACATTTGCTTCCAAATTTCTTGATAGTCTTAAGATTTCATTGTGACCTACACAGATTCAAGGCACCCCATGTCAGACCCAGCAAAGCAGCCCCAAAACATAACCAAACCTTCTCCATGAGTTACAGTAGGTACAGCGTTCTTTTCTTTTGAATGCTTTTCCACCTGTGAACATAGAGCTGATGTGACTTGCCAAAAAGCTCCAGTTTTGTCACATCTGTTCAAAGGACATTCTCCTGAAGCATTGTGGCTTATCAATATGCATTTTAGCAAATTCTAATCTGGCTGTTTGTTTTTCGTTCAACAGTAGTCTTCTTTTGAGCCCACTATTGCTCAAAAAGCAACAAATGGTGCAGTCAGACATTGTTCAGCTTGCATCTCTTTGGAAGTTTTCACGGGGTGTTTGTCTACCATTCACACTATCCTTTTGTTCAATCTTGGGTTGATTTCCCTCTTGGGCTACATCCAAGGAGGTTGGCTACACTCCCATGGACCTTAAACTTCCTATTATTTGCAACTGTATAGACGGTATGGACATTCTGGCCTCAATACTGCCCCCCCATCATGTGTCCATGATGACAGTCATGTACCTGTTTCTAATAGGTGCATAAATCTAAATTTATGAGTGCCTACAATACTCTTTATGAATTCCGGTGAATTTATCTCTTATCACACTTTCTTTGCGTTACTCTGACATACCAAAACCATGCAGATATACATGAGACAATTGATTTTATTAACATAATCTTTAAGAGGAATGTAGCATTGTTTTAATGAGCTGTAAGGGCACAAACAAATTTCTCCATGTCTGTATAAGATATTAAATTAGGATTTATTGAGTAAAGCACCCAAGAGTTGCTAAAGGAACCTTTTCTTTTTATAGAAGTCTTTCCCATTTAACCATTTAATAACCCTTTGTTATCCCGAGCATTTCTATGAGTTGTTATTATTATTAATAACTGTGACGGACTGAACCGTCACTGGGGCTGCTGGAGGAGCCTGAGGGCTAGCCTCCTTCCTAGAGACTATGGACCAATCCCTATTTGCCTGTTTCGAGTCCTCATTTGCATGGCGGAGAGCACCTAGGTGAGGACTGGAGGATAGTTTGCAGTTGACCAATAGGAAGGTGGTCGGTTGAGCCACCTTCAAACTGTTGTTTTATATAAGTGTGTGTGTGCATCCAATAAACGTGATTCCTGTTTGAACTTACATGCAGCCTGCTTGGTGTTTGTTGTGAGCTATCACCATTGGTTATGAACGGCACAGAGCTGTAGTTCGAATCCCAAATTATCGGATGTCCGAAATATCAGACGCTGCGGTCTGAAATCTAAGGACTCCCGGGAGAGTGGACCGAGCGAGCAAGGGGCTCATTACAATAACAAAATACCAAAACTACATTTATGATGCTACAAATTATCATAAAATGCAAACTTGGTGCTTTCCATTTTTGTCTGTTTAATAAAAACAATGAAAATTGACAGCCATAGGATACCATAGTAGAAAGATGATACACAAGGGCAGGGTTTTATTCATTGTTGTCTTCTGTGAGAGCACAGAGAAGCTTTCTCCAGAGTTTGCGGGATAGATGAAGTTTGTTGCTATGCTCTGTACATAGGTGTTGCACAGCATGGTTAAAAAATTAGGTACCTCTAAGGCATACAAACTTTTTTTCAATGAAAGTGATTTTGTATTGCATTCCTTGTTTATGATTTGTAGTCCTATAAACGAACCCATGAAGCAACTGTTTTTTACACGCTCTTTCCCCTCCCTCTTTCTACAGATTTGCAGATTACAGCGCCACCTATCAGGAGGAGAATATTATCAGGATTTCCTGTCAAGCATGTCACCCCTGTTTATATCCCCAAGCAGTGATCCTCCAAGTGAAACGCTATCCGAAATGGTGCAGCTTTGTGGAGGAAAAGTGTGCAAAACACTACGCCAGGCCAAGATCTGTATTGGAGTGCTTATGGGAAAGAAACCTGCAGATATGATGAATGTCTCTGAAAAATGGCTGCTTGGTAAGAGAAAAAAAAATATTTTCGATATTAAAGATGTAAAAATGGGGAAACAGCTATTTTTATTTTAAAACAAAAAAATTTAATTTGGCTGTCTAGAAAAATTGTCTTAAAATAGCACAACATCTTGCAAATTCCAAGCTAGGTAAGCATTTCACAGCTAACATTTGAGCCACCAATTTGTATACATACTATATATTTAAAAAAATGTTAAAATTATTGTACATTTAGCACAGTATTTTGGGGGCTGCAGCCTACCTTCTTTCTGCCTGACTGAAAATTTGTAGGGAGTCATCCTAACAGGCAGGAAGGTGGGTGAGGTATGCAAAATGTATTTGCATCTACCATCTGGTATTTTATCATCAGTTTGGCCAGTCTTCACTGTTCTTTATAGAGGATAAGATGAAGACATCCTAAATACCTGGTAATAGTTTATGTATTAGTCCAACAAAGGAGGAAGCGTTTTCACTAAACATCTTGTAATTGTAATGAAGAAAACACCTGCAAATATTTTATCTATAGTAGTTGCAATTGTAATGCTGGGCACACACCTTACATGGTTGTAAGGTAATTAAAAAAACGTACTTGGACAGGCAGATTGTATTTGCGATGATCGCAAGCCGCTCCCCCCTGAGGGGCGGGCTTCCAATGACAGTAATGCCGAACGGGCAGTGTGCGCTTGCGCACACCGGCCCGTCTGGCTTTTGTCTTACGAACATGCTACACGCGCGCCGAACATCGTACGATGCTCGGAGGGTTTTCTAACATGTTCGTAAGTTTAAAGTCGTGCGACCTTACAGTAGTAGAGGTCACACGGCTTCCACACACAATAATCGTACGATCGCGGGATTTCCCGTGATTATCGTACGATTATCGCAAGGTGTGTGGTCACCCTTGTTGAACCTACAATACTTTGTATTAGGCCATCGCTGGCTGTTTACATTCAAGGCAGATTTCCCGCTCGTGCCCGCCGCCTAGCGGCAGGCACGAGCAGGACTGGATGGGACATCTAAAGACGCCCATCCGCTCTCAAGAAGTCGCTGTCCAGCCGTTTAATTACAACGGCCGGACAGCAGGTGGTTAAAATAACAGATGCTGTTATAGCTTTATAAAAGTACACAGGGCCTGAAATGGTGTTTTGGATGACTCTAGTCTTCACAATTTTTTCTACTAGGTGATGTAATGGGTAATGGGTCTACTTACACACAGCTAAACAATGCTGGTGTGGGCATACTATAAGTAGAGTAAACTCACTGCTATCCGGTATTCAGCTAACCGGAACTCCCATCTATCCGGTAAAAAAGTGTACTCACTGTTCTGCCGATCTACCGCCTTCTAGGAGAGGGCTCTGGAGCATGGAATGGACCGAAAAGTGCTAGATTATCCTGGGAATGAGTGTCTGAACGATCTCTGTGTTCAGGTGCCTGATTGATCATTTGTGAAAGTTCTGTGTTATCCTGTGAACAAGCGCCATCTAGTGATCACTCCTGGTACTGCAATGTATTGCTAATGGTTTACAGTACAATATATTGTTATGGTATGGTATAGTATGGGGTATAGCATTAGTTAAACCCATGTTTAATAGAAACTCTCAAGCAACAAGAAATTACATTTATCCAGAATCTACCAATCCCTGTGGATGTCGGATAACAGGGAGTTTACTGTATTTGAAATATGATCTGCAAACATCAGCCCTCTCAACAAAATATTTAACTGAACCTTCAATTTAAATCAGCTATTTAATTTTAGGTGCAATAAAATAAAAGGCGTCCAATGCTCTGAAAGTGGCACTAAACTCAGGAGTTAAATCTTAAAAATGTATTCAAGTAGCTTAACTTTTAACAAAAATTTAGATTATTTCCCTATCACTCAGCTGTAGATCCTCAAATCATCTCTGAGTTTGGGATGACACTGTCCTTCCTTCCGGAGGGTGGCTACAAGCTCGCTCCCATAATGGACCACAATCTCCTGTTTAGCTTACTAATTTGTATTCATTTTTAGTCCATCATGGGAATACACTACATTTTTGTAAATAGTTAGGTTCTTGTATGTATTTTTAAGATTTAACTCCTGAGTTTAGTGTCTCTTGGGAAGTGTCAGGTAGTCGGGATACCAAAAGACAGGACAGAAAGTGCAGGTTTAAAGAATAAAAACAAAACTACACAACAAGAGCGCAAAGACCTTAATGTTATGTATAAAAGAGACTGTCTCTGAGAAAAGAGGGGAAAAACATTACTTACAGGCTGAGCGCTGAAGGTGGGGCAGCCTTGATGGTGGATTGAGGAGTCCAATGTGGGCAGTGTAGTTTCAGTGCTGTAGGAGCGATGCTGTATGTGACTGCCTTGGTTACTACGATGTTGGTGTGTGGGGCGCACAGCGGGATCGTGCACCCAATGTATGGTAGTAAGGAGAGGAGGAGAGGATGAGCCACAGGGGCTGAGTACTATGTATGTCTCCCTGACAAATCCACGATCAGGTGGATCGTGACAGGGAGTCAGTGCAGTATTAGGTAGGATGTCGGCACTCAGTCGGCACTGTGCGGCTGCTGGTGGCAGAGGAGCCGCTCAGTGTGTTAGTGAGGCTCCCTCAACCTTCCTGCCTTCACCATTCTCATCCACATCACCCTTTCGGGCCGCCTGTCCCCCTGACAGAACCTTCGATTCTTCCCTGCTGTCTGACGGCACCAAGACTGCACGCACTCTTTTGCAGTGGCTGGCTCACTAACGCAGCATATCCTCCGCCTGTTCTCTTAGAGCTGCATACCATCCTTAGCTTATCTACTCTACAAATCTTCACACCACCTATTTCTGAGAGCGCTGTATAAAGTTTTGTTTTAAAGAATAAAAGGAGTTTATTGAAAACAACTAAAAGCATGAATGGCAAAAAACAATGGAGAAAGTCTAGGACATCGTCAGTGCCAAGCCAGAGGTCAGATGCCAAAGTGGGTAGTTAGCCGAACCAGGCCAGGGAAGAGCAGGATGAACGTAAACAATAGTCTGAGTCAGAAACCAGGAGATCAGTCAGAGCCAGGTTCATACACGGAGAAGAGGAACAACTGCAGAGCACTTGGTAGATCTGAACACACACTAGGGCAGAGTCTGAATAGACAAACTGAAGGTTAAATAGTGAAGTGGTGTTTGCATCATCACTCTGAGACAGGAATGTGTCAGTAGTTTGCTAGTAGCTGCAGAATGATGGTGTTTATGGGTTTGATCATAAGCTGGTGCCAAAGTGGAACAAACAGTGTCAGAGACACTGCAAACAAGCCATGCTGTAAGCAACTGGACAAAGAAGGGTAAGAAACCCTGACAGGATGCAGGGGTCTGACACCGCCCTTTCTGAATCAGAGTTATAGATCTGCAATTAGAAAAGCTAACTCTCCCTGCTGATTGGAGAGAGCCTTGCCTCTGAATCAGCAGGGGCATGTCGGACCATTGTAAAGAGGTCACTGCTTTCCCACAGAGACCAAAGATTTATCAATCTGCATCATGCTGGCAGGGGGTGGCTTTTCTACTTAGGCTGTGGCTGATTTTTAAAGAAAACAAACTGTAAAACATTGAACATCTTTTGATTTTATGTACCTGGAATTTATGCAGCTAATGTACACTGAGAGTTCAATTGGACTTTAAGTAAGTGTTCTTAAAAGCTTTCATTTTCAGTTGACGCTTTACAGCTAACTTGTGTTAACAACACCTCTTGACATCTAAGCTATCGCTTTCTCCCACAATTATCTGCCATAACAAGTGATCCTGCTGTATTCCAAATGGGCTGTATGTTGATAAATATCACTAATGTAAATCTGTGGACAACTGTCTCTGTTTAGACTTATAACAATCCCATACATCTTATTATAGTAACAGATATTCTAAACAGTACATAGACAGTCCTACTGAAGGATTTGCATCAATATTCCCTATAAAAAAATCTTTATTCCCCTTGCATTGGAAGAGTTTAGGTTATTCAAGATCCTGTACACCAGTGATGGAAAGAGGGGCCTTGAGGTGAATAATTGGTTTCAGTCAATGGCTAAAGTTTTGTGGAAACTCTACTGGTCCATTGAAATGGACCATGTTTATGGACAAGTTTATACAAGTAACCCTCAATTTACATCAGGATTAGGTTCCAGAAGGAATGAATGTAAATTGAAACCCTGTATATAATGTGAGTCAATAGAAAGTAAGGGAGTTAGGTTCCAGGCCTCTCTCAAAAATGACATAAGGGACATAATACACTTTGAAATGAATGTTATGAATGTCCCAAGGGTACCCCTGTGCCCCTAGCGTGGCTCTATGTGCCTTTATATCTAAAAATGAACTTCTGTGTGCCTCAGTTTAACCCTGAGCTCCTTCATATCTCTCCAAGTTTAACCCTGTGTTCCTCCATATCCAAGTGTACCTCAGAAGTAGTGAACAGAATGAGAAATGACATGTGAACAACAAAAAAAGAGAAAAAAGGGTCTCAGGGCCCCCCTCCAAAACCATACCAGACCCTTTAGGTCTGGTAGGAATGTTAGAAGGAACCCCCAAATAAAAAAAAATTGGAGCATGCTGATGGGGACAAGGGTTTTTTTCCTCACAACCCTGGCCCGGTGGTTGTGGGGGTCTGCGGGCAGGGGGGGCTTATTTGCATCTGGGTACCCCCTTCCATAAAGGGGGCACCCAGATGCCACCCCTTGTGAATGAGTAAGGGGTAGTTGTACCCCTACTCATTCACTAAAGGGTTAAATAAAAAAAATAGACAGACCAGACTTTTGAAATGCCTTTGATTGTACAAAAAAAAACAGTTTTTGACCAATTCTTAATTTAAAAAAATAAATCCATAGATATAACCCAGGAGCAATCATGTCGTCCATTGATGTAGGTCCATGTCAATCAAGATGAATGACGCCCGCCAACTCGTCGAAATAAAAAAAGACCCACCAAAAGCTCGCCGCAGAATAAGAAATTTGACAGCTCCTTTTTTGGGAAATGTGTCCTTTCTCTAAAGACATATCTTAAGTTCAG